AAATAAATACATACATAAATAAATAAATAAATAAATAAATAAACTTTTTATATCATAATTTTGGACCTTGCTTTTTTATATATAGTTTATTTTTGTTTTGTTTTATTTAGTGAGTGATGACACAATTTTCCAAGAATCATCTCACTCCTGCTCAAAGAAATATGCTGCATTATACACCAACACTTGCAACAATGCAGTATTGCAACATCCATACACTCAAGGTAACCTTTCAATTCCTCACTGGAAACTGCTTTCAGATTTATATAAAAAATAAAAATAGAGTTATGTTTTGAGTACTTATTTATTATTTGTAGAGCAACCAATTAAATAAAATATCTGTGAAGCTTTTTTTAAATATCTGTGAAACTAACGTTTGACCTTTTTTTTGTTCAAATATACAAGAGTAGCCTACCTTGAAATATTTACAGGAAACAATCTGAGTGCAGTTGCTTTCAGTAGCTCTTATTTAGGATAGTAAAAGAGGTGCATATACAGTATGTTAAGTTATATTTGATCACAGCAACAATATTTGTATGCCTTGTGAAATGACCAACTGTTTAATAATTGCACAGAAAAAATGCATTCCAAAAGAAAACTGTTTGAATTGTAAATGGTAGACTAAAGAAAGCATAAACAAAGGAAATAATTTAAAAATAAAACTGCAACTTGACAAATTCATCCCAATAACATGCTGTTTTATAGTCTCATCTTTACTGTGTCAGTGCTCCTTTGTAACTTTTACTTCATGCTCCCAATCATGGAAGCAGACTTTTGAAGTATCTTTTTTGTGTGTAACCACATGCAGATGTGCGCTCCTGGTTTCTGCTGCCATGTTTGTGTGCTTGTGTGCCGTGTCTTTGTTATCCTCTTAACTCACTTGAGGTCTGCTCCTGCCTCTAATCCCCAGAACACACACCCACATTCATTAGAAGAAAAAAGAAACATGGGGGAATTGTTGAAGAACATGTGGCCATTTGAGAAAACAGTGACTACAGAGCTACAGGGTGAAAACTAAAAGATTTGGTTTTGTGAGGGGGAGTAACACGGCAATTTTCAGAAGCTCTTGTTTGGAGGATACAGATAAAACACACACATGTACACACTGTAACAGTTTGCTTGAAGCAAAACTGAATGAAGCTCTAAGAAATGCAAAAACATACTGTTTAAATCAATTTTTATTTAAATAATAATAAAAGTTGTTGGCTTGGGTCAGAAATGGAGTTTAACCAGACATTACATTATTTTATTTGGTGTGTAAACAAAATTTTGTTTCACCTCATGCACCCATGTGAATGACAGTAAATTGTCCTTGAATCCTTAAACCAGTCATCAATATTTCCTCCATGCAGGATCTTATCATGACACCAAATCCCCAGGATATTCACATTCATCTAAATCAAACTGCTTTGATTTCACCCTCTCCTCATGTTTTATTCAACTGTATTAGTTTTGTTCAAAGCTAAATGAAATAGTAGCCAAGCTTTTTGTTTTGAGATCCAAAAATAACTACCATAGGAGGAAATTTATTGGCAGTACTACACTAAAGTAGATGTGTATTAAGAAACTATAGAATTATCTCAAAAATGATATAAAAAAATCACTAATTGATCATTTATGCAACTTTCCAAATTCATTTTTAAGGTGTTATGAACTTGTGAATTAATAGTAATTGTAATTAATTATATCTTTTGCATTTGAATGTTTATGTAAATATGGTCATATGTAATTTATTGATTTAGAAAAGGGCAGACTTTAAGACTTTTACTCCTCCTGCTCCCTTTTCACTCAGATGTAGTGTATGCACTCTCGCTGAGCTACGTTTTGTATCTATGGATTAATGTTCATATTTTAAATTGAACGAGGAAACCAAACAAATAAATGAAATGAAAAAAAAAAAAAAACTATTCTGTAAACAGCTAGGTCAAGTTTGCCAGATGACTCTAGGCTGTAACAAACGGGAATGTTTCCATTCTTCAACATAAGAGTCTGACATTTGTTAAACTCTTGTAAAATACGTTTGAAAACCCAAATATTAAATGTAATTTAGTTTTTTTTTTAGAATATTTTTTTCACGTTTTTTATAGACTTTCATCGTGCATTTATTTGACTTTAGTACTAGTAAGAATGTTTTATTGTGAAAGAACCCCACCGGAAGTTTTTGTTTGTTGACGCCTATCAACTTCAAGCTCTCTCTCCCTGTCCTTGCTGACGGTATGAACGATTGTCTCTCGACCCTGCAGACATTCCCTCGCGCGAGCGGCCAGCTGAGAACCCCCTCGTGCCTGGGAGCTGAGCCAGGACTTGAGAGGAGCCGGAGGACGCGAAGGCATCTCAAACACAGCCCGAAGAAAGCATGCAGAGACCTGGGGTCCCGCTCATGCTGTTTTGGCTTCTTTGGGCCCACACCTTTGCTTTCGGTGGAAAAGGTAGGAGCGCGAAAAGACAAACAGACAGAAAAAAGAAGAAGAAACATTTGCAGCTCTGAAATGTTTGTTGTTTTTGGAGATTTGAGTTGCACAAGTTATTTCGCTTTCAACTTCGCGGCTATTTTGTTTTTAAAAAATATAACCAGACTGTCATTTTTTTTTCTACTGAACGTGTTTATTAAGAGATTATTGACTCGAGTTTTTTTAATTTAATAAAAAGTTGGACTACCACAGTAATTTAGAATCGCTGTAGGCTACTGCTTTGTAATGATTAGATAGTCTGGTAAAGTTCTGATGTAATACATCCTGAGAAATCAGAGGTGCAAATGAAAATCTTTTCCTTTTTCCATTAGTCGATCAGACAGATGATTTGCTCTGTGTCAGAGGGTTTCCAAGCAGGAGGTGGGCCTCCCCACGGGGGGGCTTCAAATGTTGTAAGGAGAGATCCAGTGAGTGGAAGTGATATTACATCACTTAATACATTAGTTATCAAAAGCATGCATGGCCAGCATGAAAACACATTAATTCTGCAGACTTTGCCCTTTTAAAGATTCAGAAAGTAGCTAATAAATGCCTCAGGACAAACTTTTTAAAAGCTATTTATTGCAGGGTGAACATGTGAATGTTAAACAGTGACTCCATAAGCATGTTGAAACTGAATTGCATTTACAAAGTTAACCCATTCTGACTTGATGCAACACTTGTTAGCGTTGTGGTCATGATGTGAGGCCCAGCTGCACAACACTTTCATGACACACGAATGCTAATTTATTAAAATGTTAAGAAACCAGTGGTGCCACCAGAAATGTTTTGAAGATGGGGTCATGTGGGGACCACTGAAAATGCGAGGGTGGCACCAAAACAAAAAGCCAGAATACAATTCCAAGAGGTTTGTTATGTTTTAATCATATCAAAGGTTTGAGAAATATGGCAAAATAGGAATTAGGGAATCACCTTCTGAAATCTACTTTATGTACAGGTACTATTGAGATAAGCACTGTCACTATTGAACTTTTCAAAGCTTGTCCTCCTAATATAT